TAATGATAGCAGATCTTGGTGATTCTGAAGGTGTCTTTGAAATATATCCATAATCATCGAGTAGAAATGAATTATTGAGGATATTATTACTTTCATCCAATGTTGTTTCTTCAGGTCTTTTTAGAGGAGTGAGAAATATTTTCGAAGATTTGAGTGCTTTCTTAGCAAAGGACATGGCCTGTGGAATGGTTTGTTTCTTCTCCTTAACTGATTTTTCAATGCTCATAATTTTACCAAAATATGGATCCACTTTCAAAAGGGGGAGTATGCTAACCAGTTTCTTCACTCTCCTATATTCCTCGGCGTCAATCTCTGCTCTTGCCATAACTTCTTGTCTTTCATTTTCTAGAATGACATAGTGTATTGCCTTGTTCAGTGTGGTAATATAGTACCTTTCGTTTTTAAATGCTGGCTCGAGTGGATCCACCATTGGTTTTCCCTTATTAAAAATTGCATGCATGGAAATGTTGCAATCATTGTATGGTTGGTTTTCACAAATAGAGGTCACAATTCTATACACCTTAATCATGGACTTGAGCCATCGTTTCTCTATAATTATATCGTGGTGGGAACTGAGGTGGTGATTCATTATATCAATAGCTTGAAAGAGGTAGTATCGACTAGGAACCATCTGTTTCGTCTCAAATAGTGCCACACCATAATTGAAGGTATTAAAGCACTTATTAATAATTATGAAATACTCATTGTCGCAAATGAATGTCAAAATTCTATTGAAATAATCTAGCAAGCTTGTTTGTACAGAAGTGCTTGGAATTTGGTTTTTGTACAAAAAAATGTTATTTTCAAAGCACTCAATTGCTTCCTCATACTTCTTGCGAAAGAGACAACTAGTGGCATACGTTTGCAAAATATATTGAGCATAAATGCTTGTTCCTGTTTGACTGTACATTTCATAGGCTTGTTTGGAATATTTGTACATCATGTTATATTTTTTTCTTTTTTTGTAATAATTACACATGGCACTGCTGAATAGAGATGTGAAATAATCTTTCAATTGGTCGCTCTTGAAGTGTTTCAGCATCATTTCTCCAACTTTCAATAGTTCCATGCTGTTGTGAAAGCTCTGGTATTGAGTTGACAAAACAGTTGAATAATTCAGAATGATAATTGAAAATAGAGATAAAGATAAATTCAGTTCATATCTGTCCTCTGTTGTGTCGGTAAACATGGAAATCTTTCGTTCTATCAAAATTTGAATATTCTTCAAACACTCTTTAAAGTTGGCATTAGAATAATCCATAAATGATTGATTCAGAAGCTCAATATTTGTTGGTTTCAATTGTTTTATCCTCACACTTGGTTTTGGAGGTTGAAAAGTGAAAGTACCACTATTAAGAGAGGATGAAGGTGAAGGAAGTGATTGAATCTTGTCAATTTGACCAGCATCAAACTTTTTCTCCAAATCCAATAACAATCCCCATATAGTTTTATCCAATGAAAAGTATGCATATCCATACAGCCACAATGGTTCAACAGCACTAGTGTTGGGCTGTGAAGAGTTGTCACTCATTGTTTCAGAAAATGTCTTTTTCTCTCCCTTGTTGGGAGATGCATTCATTCCATCAGCAGCTGAATGTTTCACTGTTGATGGAGGATGAGGATGATGAACGTACCCACCATTTCGTGGAGATACCTGTACAGTCGATGATTTGTATTGTCGAAAATTCCTCATCCTTCTTATGTTTAGCTATCTATACAATATGATACAATTTCTACACTCCTTCTTCGGGATGTAGTTAATAATTTAAACAATCTTCAATAATTCACAATGATATACTCTCAGAGTTTCCTTAAGAAGTGCCCGATCAAGAATGGTTCAACCTAATATCCTTAAAAATTACTGTAAATTTTCTCTGTATGTGGTTTGATGGTGAAGGAACCCGTACGAGGCTTTTTTGAAAGTACGTTGGGAGGTTACTTTCACCCTAACTTTAACGAGTACAGGAAGAGAGGTCGCTTGCGTTCTTTGAAAAGTAAGCTTATTGTACACTCTATCGATTCTGAATCCCAATTAATCATTGCCTATTATACTTTTTCAATTGACCAATTTGGACTTGAATAAAACCCAAAATGTAAAGATTAAAGTGGATTCAACTTGGAATGTTATTACAATGTTTTCAATAAATATTCAATTGTCATTACAATGTAATAATTAAATATAATATTACAATAAATATTTCATTAAATTTATTATTCAACACATTACAATAGAAACATGTCATTTCTGTGTACAGGAAGGTATTGAGGAGAACCACTAGAAGAACCACCAGTAACAGCAAAGCAAGGAATGGCATCAATAGTGGAAAGATGATCCTGAATCATGATTGAATTATCCAACAAGTTTAATAATTTCCATCCTCCTTCCTTTTGTCTATTTGATGATGATGATGTTGATGAGATGATGATGAGATGATGATGTTGATGATGAGACGACGAATTATTGATAATAATATATTCATGTGGTGGTGGTGGTGGTGGTGGTGGTGATAGTGATACAATCATTAATCATTATCATGACATGAAACTACTTACCGTTTAACAATTTGAAAAATACCCTTGGAAAATTTAACAATATCTAAACATTATGAGTGTCAGCAACCTTTGAAAAAAAAAGATACAAACCATGTTCGTATTGGAAGTGTGAATTGTCTCACCCTTTTCAAACTGGTCATTTGATGAATGGACCAATTCTCCAAAGCCTTATGATCCATGTTGGCCTTTCCTCCATAGATGGAGGAAGTAAGAGAGCCCATCAAATCCTCCAACATGAACGTAGAGTTTGGTATAGAGAGGGCCCAAATTCCATATCGATCTTGTTTTAAAACAATCAATATTATATGAAATTGTTGCATTCTGAATAACTAGTAGAGTACTTACAATGGAAAGTGAAGAACAGTATGAGAGGCCATTGTAATATCCTCCTCACCAAATTCAATTTCCACACTTCGCAGCAAGTTGAATGCCATTTGCAATAGACTTGCCTTGGCTTGCTCACTCTTCTCACTAGGATTCATGATGAGTCCTATAAAAGTTTCGACACTTTTTAAAATGTTAAAGTGGTTTTCAGAAATAATATTCTTGAAAACATCCTTACAATAGGCAAACAACATGTAGTATTCAATAGCTTTGAACTTTGCAGCCTCATTCAAGGAACGAATCTCTCTGTGATACATGGATGGAGTTTCAATAAGTTTGATGCGTTCTTTCAATTGTTAAACACCAAGGGGTTGAGTTCATATTTTTCCTTCACCACAATACTTACCATCAATGCTGGGAATTAAAGTCTTGTACAATGAACAAATATTCTTCAAAATCTTTTTACAAAGACCCTCTAAAAGATTGTGCAAAATATCACAGGCTACCTGAGTAGTCCATCTAAAATAGCTGAGCTTGAGGAGAATTGAAATGCCAATCACACCATCGAAGGAAGAAATCTCATTTTTTTGCAACTTGCAAAACTGTGGCATCATGTTATTCCAAACTCTATTGACTCCACTATTACAACTCGAATTTCCTACACAATACAATACACCAGTGTTTTCTCCCTTCTTTTCTCCTGTATGTAGACACCATCTACAACCACACAGGCCCGAGTGACCATTGATTTGCAAGAGATCTTTTGCAGCAACCAAATCGACAATCATTTGAAAGAGGCGAACCTAGTAACAAATCCAATTATTTGTTTCACATGTATATAATAATAATAATTGGCTTGTTGTCCAATGAATCACACAATCAACTTACTTTTAGAAAGAATTTACATCCTCCCTTGGTAACAATAGTCAAACCCTTGTCCAATTCATTGAGTTCATCTATAAATTTGGACAAGAGTATTTGATAGGGTATTTTGTGGTTTGCATATGCTGCCAATGAAGTCAATGGATAGGAAAATCTGTGTTTCAATCCAATCTCATTTATCCAAAAGAAGAGAGGATTGATGGATTTAGAGTTGGACTTGTTGACAGAGCCACCATCAGTGCCAGCACTAATGGTGAGGCAAATAGTGTTGGGATCATCTCGAATGACCCACTTGTCTGTAATTCTCTTATACTCGACCCCATCAACACAGTCCTTAATGAAATGTTTCTGGCCCACTGTAGGAATGTTCGTATCAGTAGCTGCAGATAGGTGTGATTGGAATCTTCTCAAGCCTACCCTATCAACCATATTCGATATGCACGAGGCAATACTTTTAGTCCAAAAGTGTTGAATATTCTCCTTGTTCAATACACCCTCAACACTACACTGCTCGCAGGAACAAGCCTTCAGAGTTTCACCTTTAATAATTGTCAAATGCTTTGAACAATAAAACACCTTTTCATACTCATTGTTGACATTGTGAATTCTACTGATGAGAGTATCTAGGGTTGGAATCTTTTTTCCAATCGCCGAGTACTTGTTAAAGAGATCAACTATTCGTCTCATGTTAACCTTTGAAATGTTGGAATCGGTATAGAATGATAATAAATCGAACAATAGATCGGATAGCTGGTTATTATTGCCAATAGAGCAATCCTTTTTCTTTGTTAGTTGCTTTCTTAGTGTTTTCAGTGAATTCTCTCTCCAAACTTCCATGAAATCAAGATTATCTAATAATTCATCGTCATGCATAATGTCCAGTCCTCCTAATTCTCCATTTGATATTGATGATGATGGTGTTGATGCTGGTGATGATGATGGAGAAGCAGGTAGTGATGAATTATCTATTGGATGAATGGGTATTTGTTGAGGTAATGATGGTTGTTGTTGTTGAGGCTGTTGAGGCTGTTGTTGTTGTTGTTGAGGACAATTGAGTTGGTAATTGATAGAGTTTGCTTGCATATAAGCATTCAGATCCCTAATGAAAGTTGGAAGATAGTCTTTGGTAATCTGTTCTTGATGCCTATCAAACAATCTGCAGGGTTGAGCATTGCACTCTCCATTGATGATATTAAAAGAAGAAATATTCATATGGTTGGGGCCATCACGATTCGGCTGTTGTTGCTTATTCGTACTACTCCTCTTGTAAACGTTGTATGAAGTTGATTCAGACCAAGCCTTAGAATGATTGCTCTTCTCTTTCATTATGGTGAAAGTGTCACTTGTTGTGGAGTTGGTGTTTTTTTTAAAAAATGTCTTCACTGCATTTCGTTCAGTTCGATCCGAACCAAACTAAAACAAAGAGAGGTAAGAAGAGAAAGGCTAGCCTTCCTACACCTGCCACAATATCATCATCTCAACAATTTCAATTCCATCCTCCTACACAAACATCACAAACTATTACATCATCATCCACTGTTGATCAACAAATTCAAGTTGTACAACCTTTAAAAAAGGCTAAACCATTACCATGGAAAGATGGTCTGAAAGCAAGTGATAATCAATCCTTCACCAAATTAATTGCAAATCTAGAGCACACTAATTGTACTGTTAAATTGTTGGAAGAATTGAAATTTAAAAGTGACTTTTTGAAGGCTTTCATCATATCATGTAGTAAATACAGCTCTACTAGTTTGTCATACTCTGGCAACAAGACAGCTCTGTTAACCACCATTCTAGAACACAAGAGTACAATCCTCAGTCATAAGGATGAATTGAAAAGCTTTTTGGATAAGGACTCCTTTGTCAAAGCAAACTTAATGACAAGAAATCAGCTCACTTCAACCCCTTCCTTTGGTACCAATGTATGTTTGGGTATAGAATTGGATAAACAACTCGTTCATATTGCTAATGGCTACACTATGACTGGGTGTGATGAATCTGGCAAAGTTAGAGTGGTAATTACATCACTGGTACCAGATTGTAACAAGTACTACAGTGATGAATTGCTTCCCAATCAAATAGAAGATTGGAACCTGTCCTGCATGAGTGTTAATTATGAGGCAGCCACCAATAGAATGACCTTTACTCAATTCCAAAACAAGTTTCAAAATGAAAGTGATGAAGTTGACAATAGTGTCATATTTGAAAATAAGGTTACCACTTCCATAGTTCCTCATTTAAGTTCATCATCATCCAATGTGAATCCATCAATGTTGAATAATTCCACAACTCCAAAAGATGTTACTTGTCCTCAACCTTTGATTTCACAACAGACCAATAATAGAGAGCAACCAATTTTTTCTACTGGTAGTGTTGGCAGTACTGGTAGTGCTGGTAGTGCTGGTAGTGCTGGCAGTAGCAGTAGTAGTAGTAGTAGTAGTAGTAGTATTACTGTCGGTGATAACATTAGTGGTAGTTCATTTGTTGATGAAAATCAAGTTAGTTTCCTTGGCTTGATGAATAATCCTGAAACTAGCCAATCATTTAACCAACCAATGTTCAATAGTCAACCAATGTTTGTTAATAGTTATCTTTTGCAGCAACTAGCAGAGAAGGATGCAGAAATTAAGCAATTACAGGTAGAATTGAAGGCTGAAAAGAAAATTCACAAGCTTTTCTACAAGCTTTTTACAAATTATGTAGATAAGGTCAAGAAAGAGTACAAAATAATATCTCAACCAGCTGAAATTAGATTGGCAGGAAGAAGAGTTCTTTTCACTTCCGAACAAATGGGATTCCTAGCCAAAACCAGGCAACCTGGAGTTGCAATACGATTCATTTGTAAACAATTCAACATAACCAGAGTTAAGAATGCGTGGAAAGAAGATTTTGAACATATTCTCGACCATTACTGTTTTAAAGTTGTCAAGACAGATGATCAATGGGAAAATTTCAGAGACAATCAAAAGAGAGATGTTCAACAAGTTGGAACTGCTGATGATGAATTTGATATCATTCCGCTGCTTAAATAACAGGATCACTGTTCTTGGATATTATTAATTACCAACTGACTACTACTATATATTATTCACTGTATATTATTATTATTATTATTATTAATTATTATTATCTATTTTATCACTATTATTCAGCATATTATTATTATCTATTTTATCACTATTATTATTATCATTATTAGTACTGTATATTATTGTGATCATCACAATCCTCTGTTTGTTCTGTGTGGTCGCGACCAAGACACAATGATGATGGTAAGATGTGTGCCGATATTTTTTTCAAGTTGTGAATCACACGACTGAAGAATATTCTCTTTGTAAACTGTTATTTGTATAATAAAGTGTATTTATCAATTTACGGAATCACATATTTGTAAAATTCAAATGCCAATACTCATTTTTGGATTTTTGATTGAATAATACATATTGAGATTGACAAGAATGGTTTTTCAAATTGCCAATACATAAATAGATGATCATCACAGCGTACTTGTTCAACTAAACTATAAAGTTAGTGTGGAGAGGTTACTTTGGTTCGTACTTTAACAAGTCAGCTAATAAAGCCTCGTACGGGAAGTGAGGCCTTTTTTTTGATTTAGAAATTCCTGAATAGTTTATCGTCAGTGATTTTTTTGGATTGAGATGAGATGCAAACATGAAAGTTGCATTCACATTAGAGATTAATGTGAGGTATTGAGAATATTAATATTATTATGTGGAGCTTTGAGTATGAATTCTTTGTTAAGGGTGAAATTGAAATATATATTATTATTTGAGATTAATTCATATTGATAATCATGATGATGATGAAGAAAGATATTAATTGGAAAGACATGTTCTTTCCATTTGAGGCAAACATAAACTTAGAATATGTATTGTTGTAGCATGATGATGCTGTCGGTATTCAATTAATTTAAAACTCTAATAATAAAAAATGAAATTATTGGCCATTCACGTTCTCTACAAGCCAACAACAGCAAATAGCAAATCAGTTATTTTGGCCGGCTATGATGAATTATCTTCATTCGGATTCTTTCAACGTGGTACTGTTCGTGAATATGTTGTATTTATTACTAGATTATTATCGGATAAAAATCCTCCAGGAACAAGACAACAAATTGTCAAGGATGAATACACTTGTTATGTACAAACAAGAGTGGATAGTCAATTAAGTGCTGTTATTGTTACAGATAGTGATTATCCAGCTAGAGTTGCTTTTTCATTACTCTATAAAGTACTTGTTGAGTATGAAAAGAAATATCCAAAGTCAACATATACATTA